AATCTATTCAGAAGTGATTGATTCTAACCTAGAGTCTGATAGTGGGTCAGGCAGAATAGTGTGTAAAGGTTTTTTAAATAAGTTTTAAATAAGCCCAGGAAGTAGTTTTTCTAGATTGCCAATTTTCACAGGGCAAGGAGGATCTTTTGCTTTTGAAATATAAACAAATGAATCCATAAATCTTGTTAAACAAAATTGGGGAGCAGCTGCAGGATAAATCATTTTATCATTAATTCTGCAGTCATCTTTTCCAGGTAGAACATAATTAAGTAATTTAAAATTGCCAAATAAGAGATAGATAACTGGATTAGTCACACCAATTTCTCTCTTTCCTTTCAAAACTGCTATAAAAATCCTTTCAAAGTGTTCCTCAGAAACAAGGCAAAATAAAACAAAAATATTCCTCTTTCTAGAATTTTCAGGATTTCCACTTGTGCCATTGAGCCTTAGGCAGAGGGTCCCCACATTAAGAGGGGAAGCATAACTTATGTGTATATTGGATAACTTTTTTTCAGGAAAAGACATTAAAAGCCTTCTTTTTATTTTAACTAGTATCTGCCAAAAAATTCTTTATTCCAGTTAAGCTAAATCTTTCCTTCTGCATAGGAACCATGCTATTTTAGAACAAAGAAAGAGTTTAGCTTTGTGAATCAAATAGCTTGACTGCCCATGAGGAACCTAAAAAGCGAGATGCTGACAAAAGTGCCCAGGGCTGCCCAGAAACACACTGTCAGAACAGGGCTCTCATTCAGGACTCCTCAATACGTGTTCATTGCTCAATCCTCATCACATATTGTAGACTTTCAAGTCTTTTGTCCTTAAAAATGAAGAGAGGAGCAGAAGCCCATTTTATATAAAAAAAGTATTGTCTCATGGGTACCGAGTTATTAAATCCTCTTCTTCCACATAAGCCTCTTTGAAAAAGTCCCTAGCTTTAAAAGAATAGAAATAGCTCCAGTCGACCCCATCATGTGTAGCATCCATCTCTTCTGCCCATTTCTTCTTCGTTGTCGCATTTGCTTTGAGAATGTGACGCAAGTCCCCACCAAGGAAGGATGGAGAGAGAAGACAGCTGTCATGTAAAAACAGAGCAATGAACTCGACCTCTTGTGAGCAAGCTCAGTGCTGACCTAATTACGAGTCCGTCATTTATACCTCCACTCACCCTGTCCTCATCACTCTCATTAAGTTCCTTCAGGGTCTGTGGCCACATGCATGCACACTGAGGCAATCCTTCCCTCTACTGAAATAGATGGCGGTCAATAGGGCTGAGGAATCTGCAGAAATTGATAGCTCTTCTCAAGTAAGGGGAAGATGCTTCAGTGCCATCTATCAGCCGTCATGGGGAACAGAGAAAATATTTTCCCTGGGGACTCAATCAGTCTGAAAGATGTTGTCCTCTTGATTGAGGGTAGGCAGAAAGAAAGTGATTGTTTCAATTATAACTTGTCAGGAGCAACTGGCCTGAACAGAGAAAGTAAGGTCAGAAGAGCTTGGCCACAGATCAAGGTAGGTATTTTGTTTAGCTCCACGGAAGAATGCTGACTCCGAAAAGGGAGTCATGAGGGCTCTCCTGGAGGTATTCTGTTATTACATTTAACGTGAGAGACAGGACCTGTGGCCCTGGAATGGTGGAGAAGAATAAGTATTTTATCACTTTATTGGCAGAGGGAGAAGAAAGAAGGGAATCTTTGTCTTATGCACCATGCATTCAGAGCTTGCTCCTAGCACTTTAGCCTGGAAGACCACTTTTCCATTTCCCAGGACTGCCTCCTCCTGCAGGGCAGGGAAGCCTCCCTGATCATCTGTGTATGTTGCCCCTGGGGCCCTGTCAGACACAATCATGTCACCCTCCTCCCTGTTTTGGTTTTTTTTTTTTTTTTTTTTTTTTTTTTTTTTTGATTTTGTGGATTTCTTAAGTCCACAAGATTTGCAAGTGATAGAAGTGGGTTGAAGACCCAGATCTTTTTATGCCAAATATTTGCTCTACCCCAGACCTTTACATATCAAATCCCAAAGCTATGTCTTTACATGGCAAGATGAACCTGGAAGTATGGACAATTTCAGGAAATGTCAGACATGTAGAAAGCCTTTGGACAGGAGCCAAAGCAGAAAGTAAGCACCTGAACTTTTTTCAAGTTGATCCAACCAAACCTGAAATACCACATTTTTCATTGTTGGGCTCCACTAACAATACTTAACAACCTGGAACCATTTTAAATAAAGCTATAAACAAACTGTAGTAGGTTATGAAAAGAAAGATACGTATTGAAACTGAAACAATCATAGCAAATATGCACCCTCAAAGGCCCCGAAGAAAATGTTTCCACGCTCCATGGTTTCCCTCCCTGAAACTTGTGAGAGTAGAGCAGGCAAAGGGTACATTCTTACCTGAAAAGGTATCATAACTTACAGCCCAGAGCTGGGCCAGCCGGCCAGAGCTAATTTCCCCTTCATTCAGCAAATGCCTGCCATCCAAACTGGCTTCCTTGTGCCTTTGTAGGAAGGTTTGCCTGGCATAAAACCAACGTTCCTACCAACTGTGATTTATCATTGATACCTCTGACTTTACCCATCTGTGTAAATATTTGCAATCCAAATTTTTGTATCTACATTTGAATCACACTACCACTACAGAAAATCAGAAATGCCAGGTGAAGCTCTGACAGAGTATCTAGTGCTGTTTCATAGAAGGAAATGATTGTCGTCCAGGAACACCAACTCCAAAAGTTAGTATTAAAAGAAAAAAAATTCTGAGCCAAGGATACAGATCAGTAGCACAGCGCCTGCCTGGCAAGCCCAAGGTCCTGAGTTAAATTCCCAGTACCAATAAGAAGGAGGAGGAGGAGGAGGAGGAGGAGGAGGAAGAGAAGATCCAATAACACGTTAATAGACATTTTTATTTAACAGTTACAAATGTGCCCCTCAAATAGCCGTATTTGAACAGTTTAGAGTAAGTCTCCTATCATACAGGCTTTCGTACCTTCAGGTCTGAGTTTGACAGTTTATTGCCGTGCGGGCCATCCTGTGCACCACGGCATGTTTAACATTTCTGGCCAGTACTCACTAAATGTCAGGAACAATCTCCAATTCTGACAACTAAAATCATCTTCCAACATTGTCAAATGCCCTCTGAGAGTAAAAGCGCCCCTAGTTGCGAACACTGACATAATGTTTATGTTAATAAGTCTAATTTGCCACTGGACAAATTACACAACTTCTTTGTGCCTCAGATTTCTCTCCTATAAGATGAAGGTATAACACCCACCTTCTGTGTTCGCTGAGCGATTTATTGGTGGTTCATATGCCAAGTTTCTTGTATCAAGATTGACATACAGGAAATCAAAAATGCATACATACTTTATAATACATAGCTCATTTATAATAAGTATAGATCTAGACTGAACAAGTATCTATTGGAAACTTATGCTGACAATGAGGCTGCATGCCTATGGTCATAATTTTCAGTTTTTTAAACTTATAGCTAACAGAAGCAATGCTTGAAGCAGACAAAACTTTGCTGGTAGAAAGTTATTATTGTTACAAGGTAATGGCACATTTTTTGCCCTCTCAGTATGTAAACATAGATGGCTAGATGGGACTTAAGTAATCTGAGGATATACGCTTGTACACGTGCATTCAGAAATTTAAATTAAATTATTATTAAATTTATAAACTTTGAGTTACACTATTATGTGCTTGTTTTAATTGCACACATTAGGGATGATCTGCACACATTAGGAATCTCCCTGTTGTGGGCTATTACCTTTTTGGAAACTGGAAACTCCTATTTTTTTTTCAGCTAGCCAAGGAAACACACATGTCTATTCCAGTTGATAACCACGCTCTCTGCCAGTAATGACTCATATTCCATTATCCATATGGATATGAAAAATGGTGGAAATGATTTTGAAAATTTGTGCATGAAATCTTGAATATTTATGCTCACCAAATCTTACCAAAACTTCAATGAGAGCAAAATGTTTGAGAAGGAAAGGGCTTGCTTGCCAGATAATCATTAGCATCCCAAACAGAGAATTCCTCTCTTTCTCTCTCACCCATCCACCCACCACTCTCCGCACTCACTTTTCTTCTTCAGGACGTTTCTTGATCCAGCTGTTATCCTGTAAGAAAGTCCTTCTTTTGTTCAGGTCATGAGAAGCTTCTTGCTTCAGCACAGTTCTGCGAGTGGTGCTCTTCATATCTACCACAGAGGCAGAGCAGTTAGGAGATGGGGCAGAATGAAGCTGAGCATGGATTCATTAACCTGAAAATCTCAACAGCCGCATCTGATTGGCCAACACTGTCTTCTAGGCTGACAAGCCCAGTACTGTTTCAGACCAGGGTGTACCAGCAAGAAAGAACAAATCCCACACCCATCATCAAAGATAACATATAAAACTTTCCAGGTGCCAATTGAAACTCCCAGTGCAGCTGAGAGGCCCCATCTGGCTCTGGAGAATGTAGATCCACAGGCCTGGAATAAACCAAGCCAGGGTTTAGTGGGTTGGCCATTCCACTCAATAAGAAATATGCCTCCAAATCGACACAGGCCTGCTTTTATATCCAGAAGATATCCATCGCGAACCTTGGCACATTTTATTACAAGTAACAGAATTCTTTATCTTACAAGAGCCAGAAGCATAGAAGGTTACACTCATAAAAAGAGGTTTTTATCCTGATTTTTAATTGTTTTTCTTTAATTTAAAATTATATGAATAAAAATTACAACACTCTTACTTTTTCTTAAGCCTAGCATAAGCAATGTTGTTTCCAACCATTAAATATGTATATTTAAAAATTATAATTTGTGAGTTATTTTTCCTAGACTTTAAAGCTTTTATTTCTGAGTAAAAGAAATAATGTCTACAGTACCATTTCCTGTGGAAGTCTTTTTTCTCAAGGGCAAATTGGTGGACATCCTACCTTCCAGTACGGCTCTGAAAGAACAATGGGGATAGGAATAGTAAAGCAATGACATTCTGAATCTATAAACAATTATTTCAATGCTAACTAGGACATATTTTTCAATGGTCTTGACAGAGCCGCACAATATGGTACAATAAATAGATAATACAAAATGTTCCTTAAGAATCCGAGAGTTCATCTATTCCAAAAATTAATTTACTAACACAGAAAATGAGGCCCAGTATGGTTAGTGACCTCAATATTATATAAGCAGTTGTTTGTATCAGGTTATCCACCAGTTCATTTATTCAATCAATAAATATGCACTGGGTGCTTGCATTGTTCCTGACACTGACCCAAGAGTTATGGACAGAAAAATGAGTCACACAAGTGTTTGTTCATGGAGTCAAAGAGAAGATGGCCTCCTCAGTCCCTTCTCTAGAGAATTCAAAGTAAACCCAGGCAACAGATATGTAATTAGAAGGGAAGAAGCCAGATGTATGAAAATCAGAGATCTGGGGAAACACTAATTATTTTAGGCACCCACCACACGATGAAAGCTCAACGTCCCTGAGCCATGACCAGACCTTGCTGGTAAACTACTGTGGTGTGAAGGTGAACCAGCCCCAGGTCCAGCTCTCCAGAGCTGAATTACGACTCAGTTGTCCCTAGGTATTTCTTTCACATATGTGCACACATCGAGTATGTTAGTATGAATACAATTGACTGACTTCAGTATTTATTTCTATTATATTTTTCTTCTGTTATTGAAAGGAATTAAAATTAGAACACTTTTGTGAATCTCTGTACTGTAAGCCTTAGACACTGCACCCAGTTAGCCCCAGATCTCTTTGAAAGTGGGGCTTTGAGTTTTAAAACTAGAAAACAGTGATGACTGGTCATTCTAGGTAGGGTGTTATGTCCTTTGCTGAAGCTCAACCACATGGTATGTGGAACACTGTAGAGGAATTCAGTGTCAAGTCAGAAGCAAGTTCTTGGTCAAATTTTATCATATTTAAATTCAACAATACAGCCATTCAACTGCCCTGTGAAATGAGGCTAATGAAATTGCCAGCTAGTTCATAAAGTATTTGTGATGATCAAATGAATAATGTACAAAAACCATGTTGTTAAACTATAAATGCTACTGAACTTGATAAAGGTTTTATTTGTTGTTTTGTTTTGCTTTTAGATAGTTTGTTGTTGTTGTTGTTTGAGACAGAATCTCTTTATGTAGTTCAGGCTGGTCTTAAACTCAGTGATCCTCCTGCCTCAACCTCCCGACTAGCTTGGGATTACAGGTGTGCACAATACCAGGCTAATTTAGCCCCATATTATCACATGGCTGTCTGTAGGTATAATGGGAATTCTAAAAGCTTTCCATCCTCCCAGGCAAAAGTATCTACTGCAACAATTTACCACAGGACCTAAAGTGGTAAGAGACATCCCCAGACAGCCAACAACTGCTGACCCAGGACAAAAAAATGTTCACCTCTTGCCTCAAGTTAGAGTCTATTTGAGGGGCCAAATTCAGCTTCCGAGGTCACTGCGCACCTGGCTGAAGCTCAACCAGTATAGAGCACGTCCTTTGCTCTCTTCCCCTGCCTCCCCTTCCCTTGCTCCCTTCTCCTGAGAATATACCAAGTCACAGGCAGCCAAATTCTTCTCAGGCTCTGCTTCTGGAGAACCAGACCTAAGACAAGCACTAAGAGTCACTGAGGCAATGGTGGCCATTCCCTTTACAGAGCTGAGAGGCTAACGGTCTTAGTGGAATTAATGGCCTGCATGTAAATGATCCTATTTACTGGCGGTGTCCCTCTGGGTATGTTATCACCTCAGGTCCTTCATCCGTGAAATGAAGTGAAGTGAAGCTGCTAGGAAAATAAAGTGAAGACACATGTAAGTGTATAACTATTGCCCAACACACAGTATGAGCCTCAGAAATCCTTAACTTCATGTCTCTTCAAGCAGAGAGGAAAGTCATAGAGGAGGTGGCCCTGGTGTTGGGGAAGGGATGGGACAGACTTGAACCAGGGCAGCTGGACATGCAAGGAGTGTGGGGCAGCCCCTAGCTGGCTTGTTTGGAAGGTGATTAAGATTTTGGCAGAAAGAGGAGTAAATAGGCACCTAGAGGTAAACTATCTTAACTGTTTGTTTATTTTGTCTCAGTCTAGCCCCGTTTCTCAAGATTGTTAGTTCTCTCATTCCCAGTTTCCAAATAGGCTCTGGTGAAGATTTTTTTCACAGTTGATGAAGACCTGGAATATTCTCAGGCAACTGAACTAGGATTCTGAAATGGTCAAAATGTTGAGTGCATGTTTGGCGATACATTTGCAGAAACAATAAGTTCCCTGAGACAAGAGGCAGGGTAATTGCAGAAGGCAGTCTACAATTAGGTGCTTTTTTGTGTCTCTCCTAAGAGACTGACTTTCCAACTGGGTAAGATCAAAATCTTTTTCTTCTGTCCTCAGTGTCTAAGACAAATGTAGTTACTGTCTAGGTGTTCCTTATTGGTGTGTCCCCCCCCTTCAAAATCACATGTTGAGATCTAGACCCCTTATACTTCAACATGTGACTGTATTTACAGATAATACCTTTAAAGATATGAGTAAGTTAAAATGAGGTCTTAGGGTGGGCACTAACTCAGTCTAACCTGTGGCCTTTTATGAAGAGAAAATGCGGGCACACACAGAGACACAGTGAGAACAGGCCATCTGCAAACCATGGAGAAGGGACTTGGATGAAACCATACCTGTCATATATTGATCATGGACTTCCACCCTCCAGAACTGAGAGACAAGGGTCTAAGTGACCCAGTCTGTATGTGGTATGCTGTTACAGCAGCCCTAGCAAGCTGATACAGGCTGATACAGTGCTCATGGAAAACATGATTTAAACATTACTGAAGTAGAGAAACTGCTCAGAGTTTTTCATCATACTGTCGTTGCTCTTTGTTTCTTCCAAATGTCTTATCGTACAAAGGAATTAGTAATAGCATCAGTACCTGCCTGGTGAGACCTGGTTGAATAGGGGACTCATAGGTATGGCCCTGCACCCTCATATAAACTGTGTGAGGCAGCTTTTATCATCTATGACTCCCAGAGGACAATGGAAGTTCAGGGTCAGGATGTAACATGTCCAAGGTGCAAAGAGGCAGTCAGGCTTCTAAGCCAAGGCCAACTCTTTCCTCAGCACCAGCAATAATGCTCATCCTGAATCAATGCAAGGTGAGCTTGAAATTAGAGTGATATTAGGGTGGTAAACGTCACGGGACCACCCAACCCTTGACATGGCACTCTTTCAAAGCCCCGTGAGCACTGCTTCCAGTGTCTGATGCCAGGAGATCCAAAGCAGCCCCTAAAGAAATCACTGTAGTCAACAAACCCTATAGAATAACTGCCTTTGTATATTCTCTGATATTCCCTTGGTTGTAAGACATCTTCTACATGAAACTTGTACATGAGTAGACACTACCCACAATAGTCAAAAAGCAAAACATCAAGTGATGAATGCCTACATAGTCTGATATGGCCACACAATGGAATATTACTCAGAAATAAAAAGAAGGCATGCCACAGTTATGGACGAGGCTTGGAACAGTAGAAAGAAACTTGACACAGAAGACGGCATATCATATTCCACCTACGCAGGGTTTATGGACTAGCGGTGTCCATACACAACAAAGTAGATCACTGTTGGTTCAAGAGCTAGGAGAAGAGTGAATGGGGAATGATTCCTAAAGAGAATGAGGTTGGGGGGTATAAAATAATATTCTGGAACTAGATAATGGTGATTGCATACCATATATTGTGAATATATGTTTGAAAAACAGAATTTTACACCATTAAGGGTAAATTTCATTGTATGTGAGTTATATCTCAACTAAAAACAAAAAATGGCAGCAAGCATGAGCTGGAGAGACAGCAAAAACAATCTCATATAACCTTGTAGTTCTACCAGAACAAAATGAAACCAGATTTTACTTCACAAGGTGATCTTAGTCCCTTGAGGACGTGTACACATTCAGCTGCTACCCAGACAGGTTACATTGGAAGCATCGTAAATTACAATCTTCTGCTTTTTGATCAGATCCCATATTCCATTTTGGTTTTGGAAATGGGTTGCCTTACCAAACAGGAAAACAGAAATAAATATTGTAAGGAAAGAGCCAGTCCTGTGAGAGAGCAGGTCTATGTGAGATAGCAAGGTGAGGGCTGGGGATTTAGCTCAGTGGCAAAAGCGCCTGCCTGGCATGCGCAAGGTCATGAGTTCGGTTCCCAGTACCAGAGAAAAACCAAAAAAAAAGATAGCAAGGTGATAGAGCAGGTTATATGACAATAACAGAATGTGATGTTTGGATACGTTGTAAAAATATGTAAGTACTGATACTATGTTATTCTACTGTGTTATTCTATTCTGTTATTCTAGTCCAGTATGCTATTTGAAAGTATATATATAGTATGTATTTGCTTAATAAATAAATGGTAAATATATAGTATATACAAATATTTTATTTATGAAGTATATAACATAAACAGCTATTCCTACAGCTCTAAAGTTAAAACATATTTCATAGAAAACATAATTATATTCATGAAAACACATAACTTGCCTTATCATGCCATGTTCTTCTGCCTACACTATTTATGCTAACTTCCCTGAGCAGAAATTTTCCCTGAGTGCAGAAATCTGCCTCATCCTCTTCGAGAGAGGTAAAGATTCCCAGTGTATCTTCTGTACACTCCAGTCCATCTGAGGGTTAGCACCCCTTTGCTTCCTGGTTAGATCCCATCCCTAGCTGCCTGTTAGGTACCAGAACTTTCTATCCCTCAAACCCTCAACATTTTATCTGACCCTTTCTGTCTTGAGTCTGGCTATTGGCCAGTCTGAATGTTATGGTTTGTGTCTGGGTGTCTCACCCAAAGCCTCATGCGGTCATGGGGCAGGCTTTTAGAGTTGATTGATTATGGGTGTGAGAGCTACATGCACCCTGGGGTGGATAGTTTGCATATGTAAGGAAGAGGAAGAGGCT